TTTTTTCATCCTTATTATGATAAGACCATTATAATTTTTCGTTCTCTTGTTTTTTATCAACCACTCTGAAACGATTGTTCACCACTAGCTAATTCCTTAACAGCTTTTTTGATTGTGTAAGATTATTTTCACTTTTTCAAACAGCCATTACTCATGCATCTCAGTTTGTTCGGTTAACAACTGAGAATAACCGTCGACGTGCTGTTTGTCAATCTATATTGCGCATACATAAACACACACACTAAATAACTTTGCAGCTTTCAAGTGTACAGTTAAGATCGAGACAGGGTGAGTATTGATGGAATTGTACAATGACCTCCTTTTGGAATTGCGTCTACTGACTGACCCACCGAGTCTGTGTACGACGCAAAACCGGAGACTTGAGTGACGTAGGTGTTGAAATCTCGAAATCGCTCTCCTTTATGAGAAGTTCTGTGGATCACCCACCACACAGATTTCAGAGTGACGAGCCTATATTCGGATTCGCATATCTGGGTGTCCTTGACAACTTGATCTGTGCTCCGTGTGTTTCCAACAACGCTGAACCTGTGGTTGAGAGTGACGATGCGCTTTGTATTTCATGCAGAGATGGCGATTGGTGCAGATTGTTGTTGTTGGCTTCATAGCTCAATGAATCCTGTTTCTCTGTCTTCACCTGAGATTCTCTCGTCACTCCAAGTATCCTTAATGCATACATTTACACAATGAATGACAAACTAGTGGAGATTGTGGAAGTATGTTGTTATCAGTGTGATTCAAACTGAACTCTGTGATGAATCGTCTTCATGATCACCTAACTACCTATGACGCGTGAAGATGCATTCAAGGCTAATTGGCGATTGACTTGAACTCAGAAACACTGACACAAACGATTTCTGAATTAATCGACTAATCGACTAGGAAATGTGACTATCTCCACTGATATTGTTGGTTGGCGAACTGATCTTCCTACCAGGTGTGTGTCATTTCCCATCATCTACATCTAGTGAGTGGGTTCGTTAGTTAGTTAGTTGGTTCGTTTGTTTGTCTGTCTGTTTGTTTCCGATTTGTCCGTCTGAGAAAGAATTGACAAAGAAGTGTGTGAGAATCCACTGACTGACATCTGTTGACCCTTCTCCTGCACCATTCTCAAAGTCAAGTCTCCGCTCGACAATCAATCACTTGTGTAGATTTGTGCAAATATCAGTCATGACGAATTATCTGAGATACAGGTGTGCGCTCGAAGTGATGACTGACGAAGAAACGAGGATTTGTTAAAGGGTGAATCGAACCAACACTCAGAGTTATCATCAGCATAATATTCAACTGGGAACTGCATTTCCACTGGAGTATCTACTGCCACAGAATCAGTCGTCAACCAACCCGAAACCGTCGTAAACCATCTGATAAACTGACCAGCCACTCCACTCCTAACTAACTGAGATGCCTGTTAGTTGTGATCGTCTGAACGATAAATTTGATGAGAATTTTACAATCCACAGAACCACATAAGTGCTTGGTGAAAAAATTAATGACCTCAATTAAATTGTAGTTCTGGGGATTGTAAAATGTACATAAGCACTGAGAAGCCTGAATTTGAAGAACATTGAAGTAGAATTCTAGGTATACTTCAACGTGGGAAAGTGCATTCTCGTTCCCCCCCCGCCCGCCATCTCACAGTGAAGAAAATGCATTCAATCTGGATATCATGTTTATTCCCACTGAACAAACAACCAACATTCTCATTCTAAACAGCCACAGCATGAGAAACATCAGGTGAAATTCTCTTCACAATAACCGTATTTATACATACACACACCTCACCTAACCGTCAGGCAAATCTCAAACAGAAAATCTCAGAGGAGAAGAATACGATGAAGGCAAGTTGCATTCTCATCTGAAACATCAATGTAGATCACATTCATCGGTCTATGCATACTCTCGTTGCTGATCATCAGTTGTGTAGAGGCACGATCACGTCCAAAAGGTGAGTAGACTGTTGTTCGTGTTTTATGCTGACTGGTCAATTATGTTGTTGGCGCTGGTAGATGAGATTGAACGTCTGACACATTTTCATTCTCCACTCACTCACTCACTCACTCACTCCTTCAGTCAGTCAGTCAGTCATTCACTCACTCACAAATATTGTCAATAACACAACACACGCAATTATTTACTATAATAATAATTATTATTATTGATATCTACTTTACTTCCACCAACAGCTTTTATCATACAGCATGGAATATTCAGCATTTCTCACTGTATTGCATCTAATTCACTCAAAATATGAATCAAAGTAACCACAAGATTATTTCCATGCACATTTACAGTAGGAATATGTATGAATGCACGTCACTGATGATTGCTATTTATTGTTTATTTCTGATTGAATTAGATGAATGGGTGAAACGATCCGCTCTTCGCGACGGTGTCGACATTGTTTCAGTTTCACGTCGAGAGGCCGGTGATGAATTTGATGAGGAGATGAATCAGAAAACAGATTTCTTCTACCGCCCATAACGCTTGCACGAACTGCTTTCTTTGATGTATTTGTCTGCCCGTCAATCGTGAATGAAATTTTCGATGTTGTGTGAACTGATCATGTGATGACTGATGTGAGAAGAAGAATAAATTATTGGTTTTCTAAACTTTGTTCTGCTGTAATATTCCATATGGATGTGTGTAGTAGGTCGATCGACATGCAACGAAAGACAGTTGAACGGACTACAAGCTTCGTTCAGTTCACTCACTGTTGATGATATCGTTTCCTATAATACAATTTCATGAATGGAGTTATGTTTTAGGTATACTGACGCCAGAGTTGACTGATTCAGACTACGTTCCGTAAAGCTTTCATGCCATATCAATACACATATTCTACCTTCTGTGAATATGTAGGCGAATATAGATTGTTCAAATTATATTCCACAGGATACCGTTAATACCTCGGATACATTTCAATTATCGTTATATTCTCCGACGAATTACACTGCACACTTACATTGCTCATTTCATCCCAACACAATTCGTTTGCATCAGTCTGCATTTTCACTGATGCATGGAGTTTAAATATCTGAAAGCTCAATGGTTATCCGCACTTATCGCATAAGCTCTACCTGTTCGCATTTCATATCATCACAATGACCAGAAGTGTATCTGTACTAAGTCAGGTGTACAGGTGTGAATGTCTCAGTGTGAATTCGGTTTGACACTGCTCATGCATGAGTGGTTAAACTAATCAAATTAATGTGGAGCGTCAACTGGAAGTGATTAACTGAAGTTTGCTTGCAACTGCTCAACAAGATTTTGGTTAACCGTCGGACTACTTACGTTTCAATGACTGTTTGATATGTCTTATATATAAATGAATTTGGAACTGGTGATAATTTATTGTTCTGGGGTGAATATGTAGTCAAGTGTTGGGATTTATTTCATCCTCCGTGGGCTAGTAGATATCCGTTAACAAGTCGTGTTAATCTCTCCCTCTCTCGGCTGTTTGATTATAGGCTTTCACACTCTTATGTGACTATTATGTTGTGATGGATGAGTAATATATGCGCGTCCGTTCAGCTGAATTTCAGCCATCTTGTTTTGACCGGTCATCTCGTTTATCATTTTTGACATTTGTTATTCGGTGAAGAAGAGGTTGACGGTTGTGCGTTAGTGTGTGTTGTGACTGCTCATCTCTGAACTGTCTTCATTCCATCGTTAGCAAATACATCGCTGAGCCTCCGAAAGCGTATATTCCGCGATATGTAGCTGGGCCAGTGCTATGGAATGCACTCATACATCTTTCCCATGCCTGTAACCAGATGATGCGTCTCCACAAACGAAAGGAGATATTCACAAATCCTAATCGCCTGATCACTCGTCGATACCGGTGATTTGTCGAGAGCATCGAATCCTTGAATAATATAACAAATATGCGAAAGACATTAAATTCATCACGATTGGTCAACTTTCTTTTCAATAACCTTTAAATTCGACCGAATTACTTTACACAGACAGAAATCCGACCGCAATCCCTCAGTCTCCTGGTGACTGTATCTGGTATTTCTTGTGTAAATGGACATCAAACAATTTGAGAAGCAATGACTCAACACTGTAGCGATATTCGGAAAATATTATAATTAATTTTATAAATAAAATTTGAGATATGATCAGTAGGATTGGTGTAGGTGAATCTAAATGTGACCGTCGGCATCATGTTGTCAGGATGGGGGATAAATTCTGCTCGAAATGTACTCAGTAAGTCGTATTACACTCCTGTGCATGTTGTCTGAAATAAACGTATTTTATCATGGAATTATACTGCACATCATCGTCGAAATCCAATGTGCATATACGAGTTCACTTTCTCGTGTGGATCTAGGTGCATAGGTGGTTATATGCGCGTCCCTTCAAAACGTTTTAGAGAACATTACCCAACGTGGCTGCAAAGGGGAGGCACTTGTTCAATCAGAAGTGCTATTATTGAACATCTGGTCAACACCTCCCAAAACATCTCAATTGATTCTTTCAAAGTGATTTTCAAAGTCAACAGAAACCTACAAAGAACAGTATGTTTCCGACTTGTTTGTACTGCAGTAGCTCTCGCCATATGCATCGAGAAGCCGAAGCTGTGTGTTAAAATGAAATTAATCCAGTCTCTACAACTGCCAGGGACCTAGTTTGGTATGTTCCCTTTGCTTACGTTTTTTTCTTCTTAATCATTTTTCTTCTCTCTTTTCTTTTTAAGCACTTTTTCGTTCGCCGTGTATCTGATCCTTGTTGAAAATTTTGATTTCAATTTGTTTCCATGCTCATTTTGTTCACACCTGTAATTCGTGCTATCCTTGCGTTTCTAAGCTTCTTGTATTTCATATCAAATTGAAAACAATTATCACCTTATATCTGACTTAAAATTATTCCTCTAGTAACCAAATATTGATTTTTGCATACGTTGTACCTATTGTCTATTCTAAACCAAAAATCACACCAAACATCCCCATTATCATTACAATTTGAAATACACAATATCAGAGAAGGAGGAGGAGAGTTTATTCTTCACAATAATCAATAATACAACAAATCGATGCATACATGGATGGATGGATGGATTGATGTAAGAATTGTGAACACAGTGTCGACAGCTGATTATCATCACACTAATGTTGGCCACCATTCGTCACATTCTTCACACCGTCTTTTGTATTTGAAGAGTTGATCACCTGCTCAGCGGCTGCCTTGAGCACTTCTACAAACAAGAGAAAATATCACACATTCAGAATAGTTCTTGGAAGGAGATTGAAATGGACAATTTCGATAGGTGTCTGGGAGATGTGATTCGTGTTATTGACAGCAGAGAAGCGAGATGTGAATCTCAAAATCCTCAGATGGCAACATCTGCATCACCGAGTCTCATCTCATTCAGTCGTCTCGGGCACTTCCTTCTCTTTCACATACAAGCTAGCTTGAACTTCAACTGTCCCACTTGAACTGACAGACCACATAATTTCACACTTCACAACATTCGAATTCATATCAGACACCTCAATCAAATCATTCCTTGCATGCATCACGTCCGAAATCCGATATACACGAATAGGTGGTGTTGATGAAATAAATAAGTAAATAAAAAGTAAATATCATTCCACCATTTAACTGAATATTCGACTATCACATCTTCATCGAATATCCTGACTTCATGAGAATCAAAGCATATCTCACCTGCAGCCACCAGATACTTCACAGCATCCTCCTTCGTAATATCTTTCTTGTCATCATTCGAGGGGATAGCCGCCGAAATCATCAACATTGAGAGCAGTATATAGAGGATCTGGAAAGGGAGAGAGAGAGAGAGACAGAGCGATAGAGACAGAGTGAAAGATGGAGGTACAGGGATAGTGTGAGGTAGATGGAGACATAAGTGGAGAGCAGAAAATAAACATGATAACTGTCATTCACACTGTCCAATGCACACTCACCATTCTCAATCTGCAGTCAAATTGTGTGGTGTTAATCGGCTTTCTCTTCTTCGTTGACGTTGTCGTTGTCGTCGTCGTCGTATAATCCATGATGCATGTGAGAGATGTATTTATACTTTTCAGGTAGTGGTGTGTATGTGTGTGTGTGAATGCTCGTGTATATGTATGCATGCATGGATGCATGTTACAGGTGAAGTGTGTAATGAGGTGTGTAGAATGACGACATGATGTGACCCACACACTGAATGAGACTACTTGTCATGTTACTGTTATTCAGTGAGTGAGTGAGTGAGCGAGTGAGTGAGTGAGTGAGTGAGTGAGTGTGTGAGTGAGTGAGTGAATGAGTGAGTGAGTGAGTGAGTGAGTAATGGTGTCAATGATGAACCTGGTTAGTCACTATGCAGCACATAATACTTCGTTTTTGAGTAAAGTGTAGAGAAGAGTATTTTGGAGAGGACACTTGACCTGAAGCTGATTTTTGTTTCTGTTATCATTTTGATTAGTATTGTGAGATGTGAGATATTGAAGTTGTCTTCTCATCTTGCCTCACTTCATTAGTCATACCTGTTTTAATTTTGATTCGGTGTAATATTCAGATTGACTTATGATGAACTCATTGTGAGCAATTTTTATAATAAGTCTAAGATTTCTCCAGTTTCCTCCGCTGAGAAATTTGTTTTTATACCAATAAGTGTGGTCTGAAGAAATTTGATTTACCTGAGGTGTGGGTGCCAGCTGGAGGCCTACTGGAGAACAGTGAATTACTGGAGAGCTGTTTCCTCCTATTTCGGAACTCTTCATCAATGCGCGTCCAGCGAGATTCAAACGTTAGACGGTAGCGGAACAGGCGAGTTTAGAGACGATTTAGCCAACTAATGATTACCTGAAGTTCTAGGATGGAGTCGTAACCAGCAGACTTCCGACAGTCAAGCAAGATAACTTTCGCTGACCAATGTCACCGACTGATGAATGCGATTTGTATATTATACTATTTGTTAGTCGTATTGTATCTCTGAGTGGTTTTGGCTTATCTCCTTCGATGTTGATGATTTTCGTAATGGATTTCATTCATTCATTGATTCATTATGGTCTATTATGAAAGGTTCACCGTGTCACTTGTTTTTGTCTCGCTTTCTCAATAATGCTGAACACCCACAACTGATATGTGTGTCATGTTAACTGACTGAGTTGATTATTGTGAAATCTGTCAGAAATATGATTGTGTGTGTGTGGTACATTGGATATCATGTTATGTGAATGTTTGTCTTGACCTAATGGCTTAAAATCTGTCGCCTATTCTTCTTATTGCTTCATTGTGTCATGTTCCTTTACATGATTGTTTCCCATTACGTGATAACATGATGGAGTTTTCTATCATGCTCCCATTTATGCCTTTTTCGGATAAAACTTTTGACCACCTTAACTAGGCGTCCACTAACAAAATTATTTCGAATATTCCATCTCATTCTTATAGCTGTATAATGAGAACTGATTTATGTCTAATATGTCACAAACTCGAAGACTTACAGGCGAAAACAAAGAAAACTGGTTTAAGAATCAGCCAGCGAAGGCAGGTCTGTGTGTGAATATGGAGAAGGCAGGGGTGATAATGACAACCAACCAACCAACAACACCAATCAGTACAGGTCACTATCAATGGCTTAAATTGGACAGAGGTTACTTTTTTCACTTATCTAGGAAGAATCGTTTCAACTACAGAAGACAGAATGGATCTAGGTGTCAAAGCCAGTCAGGATCGGAAAATCAAAGTTACACCTTGATCACTCTGAAATCAGTTTGAGAATCTTCTACATTCAACACAGAGATTTGGCATCGACGTTAAATCAGTGATTCTTCACATTGATCAGAAATTTTGTGCACACATCAACAAAAGGCAGCTGAAGACGTTTATCAACAGCTGTCATCTTCTCTGGCTTCATACTGAAGATCAAATGAGCAATAAGAAAGAATTCGCAACACGGATGAGGAGACCGTCGAATGATACTGCACTGGATGTGGGCTATTGTTCTAGTGGAAGCCGGATGTGAAACGACGGATGGTTGTTTGAGTGTGACACAGGGGAAATCATGTAGAGGGAATATGATGAGGCTGTCGGGAGTCGTGGGGCCAGCTAAGGAGGATATAATAAAATAGAACAAAGTGGATATGTGATGCTGAAGCCCTTTCATGTTCCACTCAGGCTCAAAGGAACAATAATAATATTACTAATAATAAAAATTAAATTCGTATTGGAAGCTTAAGTCGCTGATTGTGTCGAAAGCTTTCTTCATCTTTACACTTGAAATATAACACTTTATAGTAACTTCTAGTATTAGATAGTTGGAGGCAATCGGCAGGAAGCCTTGGACCTGGGTTTCGTGCTAGTTGGCACTCACCAGTCAGCAAGGCTTATCTGCAACCTTGCCTTCAACTATCTAATATCATCAGATCAATGTGTACCGTGATGGTGAGCTACCTAGTGGAATGGTGGTCACATTGCAAATCTGACTGACTGATAGAATTCAGTTTGCACATAAGAAAGGACTAGACACGTCACACTAGTTATTAGTGTTCAATCAAACTGGTAACTACTAATGGAATGTAGTTATCTGCTTATCGTCTTATCGGCCTTGATTATCGATCAACTGAGACAGGTTGGTTTTATCGTTAACTTCTATAAATACCAAGTATGAGTAGTATCGTCTGATGTCTTTGAATATGCCTCTGACCAAAAGCGTAGGCGCCTACTGATTAGTAAGGCGTAGCTCATGGACTACCTTGAAATATCTCTGCCCTTCTAGTTATTATTACCTTTATCTTGTTCCACAATGTTCGATTGAAACATATTCTTTGTGATCATGTGAAATGACTATAATGACGCCTTCAGAGAAGGTAAAGAAGCAATCAAACACTCTACCATGTTGGTTCACTTCGAGGTGAAAACACACTTGTACAACTTTGTTTATTTACCTTTAGCAATAACGAAACCTCCTTCTTGATTTCCAATATTGCCAGTCACCTCTGGCTCGTACCTGTTCCGTACATACACATTCGGATCCTTTGTTTCAATCTCCGTTTTTCTCCGCAAGTATACTCGGGCTGTTGGCATACTCTTAGCTACAGTGAGCAACTGCATACTACACAGGACTAATTTGTCACTACAATTCTGTACGTCTTTCCTTGAGTATTCTGGAACAGCTATAACTCACCAAGCAACTGTATGTTACATGTGTATAAATTTGTGTACACTGAATTCCTAACTACACATACTTATGTGTTTGTATTGGTTTTGTCCGTTTTTCTTAGCACATAAGCGAGTTAATCCGTTTAGTGTGCAACACAAGTTCAAACAGAAAAATCGATTTTTGCATGGAGTGGTGAGGGAGTGGTGTAATAAATACCAGATGTGAGTAAGAGGAGCAAGTAATAAGACGACTGACCATTTGGTGACTTCATCTCCAATCATGGAAATACAACACAAGCAAATTTGCTACATTAAAAGCATTTGACAATATCTATCTCATGACCTGCATCAAGGAAATGACTAGCTAGAACAGGACTGAAAACTCCTTCTCCCTGGAAACCTGGTCAATTTGTTATGGATTCAGAAAATCAGAAATGTGAACTACCTTCTGACCTATCAATGTAACTGCTCTTCCAGACAAATATGAGTATGTCTGTATACACAGTTGGACTTGACATGAGAAGGCTATCTGTCGACGTTTGATTGCACCAAACAACATGTTGCCCGAGAGACGGGAACCAAGGTAGCTGTGGGATAAGTTCTGGCTAGATGTTGCTGGTGTTGTTGTTGTTGTTTGTTTGTTATTTTCATAACTGCCGTCTGTCGGTGTTCACCTGGAGTCATGTCTTTGCTGCTTTTTCTACCAGTTTGACGGTTTTCGCTTGTCAGTCGTCGATTTTATGTGACGTCAAACACAAATCATCCATTTAAGTGTTGGTTTGCTTTCAGGATTTCATCATGAGCTGACATTAGTTAGAGAACCATTGAAAAACCTGGGAGTACTGGACAGCTGTTCGTCCACACGCAAAATCCAGGTTTTCTAGGTTCTTCACGTCGGTCCAGGATATCCCTGTCCCTTTCTCATTTCCCACTGTCTGATGCATAATCCAGTCAGTCCACCACAATTAGGAATATCATTCGTGATAGATAATAAGCACCCTTGTCTGACCCCTGTGTTTATTCTAAACGCCTCGCTGAGTCTTCCGTTGTGGATCACTTGACATGTGCCGTTATTGTCGTACAGCTGTTGAATAAGGTTGATGAATATTTGGGGTACGCCGTAGTACTCGAGTAATTTCCAAATTACTTCGCGGTCAACGCTGTCGAAGGCCTTCTCGAAGTCTATAAAGTTGAGGTACAGGTTTGATTGCTATTCCATGCGTTGTTCTGTGATGATGATGCCTAGAGTTTCAATTTGGTACATGATTTGCCTTTCCTGAATCCAGCTTGTTGTGGTCAGAGTTCTGCACCCAGTGCGTCTTTTATTCTACCCAGGATGATGCGACTCAGGATTTCACTTGGCGACGACAGGAGCATGATTCCTCGCCAGTTCTTGCAGAGTCCTAAGTTGCTTTTCTTTGGTAGTTTCACGAGGTAGCCTTTCCTCCAGTCAGTAGGCACCTTTCCCTCCTTCCAGACCTTTTGCAATAATGGAGTCAGCATATCTGCTGTTGTCTCTGGGTCCATTTTTAGTGCTTCATGGGGTATTCTATCTGATCCAGCTGCTTTTCCAGCTTTCAGAAACTTGATTCCATCCAAGACTTCAGCTGTCATTGGAGGATGGTGTCAATTTGCAGTTTTGTACGTGCTGTTGTTGGTATTTCTGGATGGGTTGCAGGTGGTGGTCGGTTCAAGAGTCCTAAGAAGTGATCCGCCCATTGTTTAATCTGTTTTTCTTCCTTGGTAGTTGGGTTCCCTTGGCTATCTTTTATAGGTTTCACTTGTGTTGATCTCTTTCCGAATAGAGATTTGGTTATCT